GTAGATGTAGCTAAATATGCTAGTAGATGTAGCTAAATATGCTAGTAAACGTAGCTCAATATGCTAGTAGATGTAATCTGCAGCCACTTCTTCAGCTCGTTCTCCATCCCTTGTCCTCATCAGGCAGTGGTATGATCATATTGTCCTGTTTGAGCTCTGACAGCTGGTGTTCCTACATGTTTAAATTAAATCCACAATGCTCAGAGAAACTACTTTAGCTCGTACTGTTCTCACAGAAACAAATGTTGGTTCTGGTCCGAGCTGGAAGTCGCACCTATAATTCACACAAGGCATCATGGGGGATAGGAATAAGGTGGACAGGCAGAGAAACAGTGTGAATGCTGAGTAACCGTGACGACAGTTTGTTGTAGGAAACAGGCGCTGAAACAACTTTGTACAGTTTCTAAACATTATGTTGTTTTCACATCATACCGGCACGCCTCTGAGCCACGTCAGTAAAATAATCCTGTTCGGTGCTTCAGACTGATGCAGCGCGTTATGACGTTAGCTCTGAAGAAGCTGCACCTCCTCGTGACTGAGGAGGAGCAACTTAAAGGCTTAATTATTGATGGACTTTCATAATTCATGCTCCTTCATCAACAACTGCTTCATACCAACTGCTCGGGCGGTTCTCAGACGCAGACTGTGGCTGGAAGCAGCTCAGAAACACGCCTAACACTGATGACCCAAATATCCATCATAAATAAATAAAAACAAGTTGTTTGGGTCTTAAAATGAGTTTGACACAACCTGAAGAGCAGCAGCCTGTGGGACGGGCCTCCTTCTGACTGCTGCGTTGATGTTAAATGTTTGATTTATTTAAGCGTCCAGAGTTAAACTAAACTAAAAACAACTTCTCGTGTGTTGCGGCAGAAAGCAGCAGCTGAGATTAGCGCTCGTTAAGAAGCTTTTCAGACTTTTGTTATGTCAACGTTTGTTAAACGTATTATCCCTGCGAGAGTCGATGATGAAACAAAGCCCTCGTTGTGAGAAGCAGGAAGTAGCTTTACGAAATTTGAGTTTGTGAAGGTGGGTTGGACTGGACCGGAAGAATATTTGAAGAAAAATCAAATGTTTATTGGAATAATTCAAAATGTGGTTTTGCCTTAAATGCCCATCGCTAGCTTAAATGATTTTATATGTGACGCTCCTTCAGCGTGGAGCGTCTTTGGCCTACTTGTCCTCGTCCTCATCTATTGGCCTCATTTTTCAGATCAGCGGGTCTGTTCTTGTCGGGGCTCTGTGGAGGCTGACAGCTGTTATCTCACAGTTTGTTAATATGTAACACGCTCTCCCTGCCTCGCCGACGTCCTTCTAATCTCCGTTTATAGCATCTCGTTGTCGGTTAAGATATCAAATAAAAACTTGGAGCAGATCTGTGTCGAGTCAGCTGTTTTTATCATCATCTCTGGAGTTGCGGATTATTTTGATGACAAATAAAGTTTACTAACGTTTGCAAACGTTACAATTACCTGATAATGAATATTATTTATTTACGGGCGTGTATTCCCTCTGAAGAGAAGCTCGGAGCAGTAAAACTTATTCAAACACCACTTTTACAATCAAATGTGTTAAATTTAATCAAACACCAAATTGATTCAAAACTCACTCAGACCAAGGTACGAGCCATGAGGTCTTCCATCCTGCACATTTTATCTAATTTGAACACTGAGTTACAGTCTGTCATAGGACTTTATTTTGGTGGTCATTGACTTTTCTCAAAAGCACAAAAACGGATGAAAAATTACCAAAAAAAGAGAAAATCTGAGATTCTGCGGCTCATCGCAACAACACACCTGGACTCAACAGGTAACGAGTTGTTGACAAACATTAACGAGAGTTCCGTTAAAATCCGTATAGAGGTTGTTGAGATATTTTGCTAACAGACAAATACTAATAGTTACTGGCAACGCTTTAAATATAAACTGTGAACAATTAGTCCACCCTTGAAGTATTTGTTGAGGATGACTCTCAGCTACTACCATACAAATAATTAGTTTAATATTTGTAAATTTGACAGAATTATTATGTTTTTAAGCCCAGCTGGCTGTGGCAGCCATCTTTAAACCCGTTGACTCCAAAGTTAGTCAGTTGCAGATGAACATCCAATAGTTATAATGTCCCCAGTGATTTATGGGATATTTTGCTAACAGTCAGACAAACGCACGGGGACAAGGTCAAAAACAGCGCACTGTTGCCTTTAAGAATAACATTTAAAAAGTATTTGTCCATATTTGTTGCAAAATGGTTTTTAGGCTGTTTAACATTTTTATATAGTTGTAATTTTATTATATTTGCGTTTTTATTGCTTGATGATTTATGATGTTACTAATAAAAGTACCTTGCGTTGTTTTGTGTGTTTTTATAAACAAAGTAGCTTTGAAGGGGTGATGGAGCAGAGCCTGTGTTTTCCGACAACCTCTGAACGCATCGCCTCCTTCACGTTTTGACAACTTCCTGAAGTCCGACTTCGTGATGAGTTTACGGTCCCGCCTCGGCTCGGGTTAGAGACGTGGCTCCCGCTTCGTCCCGGATGATGGAGCCGACGTTTAACCGGAGCTACAAACACGACTCGTGGGTTGAGACGATAAAAACAGACGCAGCAGGAATGTCGTCACTGAACCGTGCTGCGTTCAATTCCCACCTCCAGAACCGACAGCCCTCAGCGCCATTACCCGTCACAGCCGAGCCGAGCTTACCTGGATCGGGTTGATGCCGCCCGGACCGTCCGCCGCGTCAGGCGAGTTGTCGAAGACCCGGTCCCGGTACAGGGACCACAGGCCCACGTTCGGGAGGAAGAGGAAAGCCGCCACGAGCAGCCCGGCGACCTGCAGCAGCCTCTTCTGTCTCCGCCTCATGTCTCCGCGTGTCCCGACGGCTCGTTCCCCCGAGCGGAGACAACTTCAGTCCGGCTGCGGGGACGGACAGCGTCGCTGTGAGGCTCCGTGGGCCTACAGCGCCGCCGCTAGGGGGGGCCGAGTGCTCGATTCCGGGCGGGGGGAGGAGGAGACACTCGGTGGACTGACGGTTCTTAACAACTTGTTACAGTAACTCGTTACTTTGTGATCAAAGCCAGAAGCGCGAGACCAAACAAAGTTTTACTGACGGCTGACGTCTGTGCTGAGTTCAAATGCAGCTCGGAAATAAGAACTTTTGTTTGTTTTTTTGGCCAGCGCTGCTCCATCCGCAGGATTTAGTAAAAAATACGCGTCACATACATTAAAATAAAATAAATGTTTGTAAGCTCAATCATCCAGGGAGATAAATACAAAAAAGGTTACATGAGGTCATCTGGTCCGTTTCATCCAAAGACTCATCAGTCTGAGGCCTGCCACCCAGATCTGTCTTATAAATAGTGTCACATGTTAAAAATAAAAATCACCTTTACTGTAGTTTAACTATTGCCCAACACTGAAAGGTGTGTGTGTTAGTAAAATGTCTCACAAATCACTGGATGGATTTTAATGAATCAGGCAATAACTGGATGTTTAACCTTGGAGTTGCATAAAGATGGCCGCCACAGTCAGGTGACCTTAGAAAACAAAACAGTAGGTGTAATGCGTGAGTTTTACTGATCCATTTTCTGTGCCTGTTTCTTGGCTCATGAGGAGCTGTTGTCTATCTCCAGTGGTCACTGAGTGAGAGGCAGGGGACACCTGGACAGGTAGCCTCATGGGACTCATGGAGACAACCTTTCTCACTCACACCTAAAGACAATTAAGGGTCTCCAGTTGACCCAACATGAATGTTTCAGGTCTGTGGGAGGAAACCAAAGAATCAGGAAATCAAACCCACGGAGCAAACTGCACAGAGCAACACATCCCCCGAACCACTGGACACATTTTAATAAAACTTTCAGGAAGTAATCGTTGCATACACCTGACACCTCTATATCTGCTCAACCCAATCCCACAGCTAACTGGTTTTAGAAAACACAGAAATGGCTAAAACTCAGTCAGTTTAAAGATATTTAGCTAACAGTGGTGCAAACACCTGGTCCTGGAGGGCCACCGTCCTGCATGAGGTCCACTATCCTGCACGAGGACCACCACTACTGGTCCTGGAGGGCCACACTCCTGCACGAGGACCACCACTCCTGGTCCTGGAGGGCCACACTCCTGCATGAGGACCACCACTCCTGGTCCTGGAGGGCCACCGTCCTGCACGTTTTAGATGTTTCTCTGTCACACCTGGATTAAATGAGTGATTTCAGGCTTCTGCAGGACGCTGACGAGCAGGGAAACAGCTTAAGCAGGCAGGACCGTGGCCCTCAAAGACCAGGAGTGGTGGTCCTCGTGCAGGACCGTGGCCCTCAAGGACCAGGAGTGGTGGTCCTCGTGCAGGACCGTGGCCCTCAAA